CCACACTCATTGGTGGCATCAGGGTGTACAACCCAGGCTTCTGAGCACCAATCTTGTGTTCGTAGGCTTACACCAGGGACCTGGCCCTCTGCCTCTCACATCATCAGCAGACACATCGAGAGGAGCAGAGAGTCCTTCGTGTTGGCCTTCCAGAGAATGTTATCTTTTAAGGGAGGTACGAGTATTTTCTGTTTTACCTATCCAAGAATTATCATGGTTAAATAACTATCACTACACAGATGGCACATTAGACATTTCACAAGTGTTTGGCTGGGTATGGAGCTTATGTTCTCATTAGAGTGGCCTTCGGGGGTGTCCTTTGGAAAGATGACATGCAAGATGGAAAGACGCTATTTGACATTTATCAGGGGTTTAGTCTCCCCAAACACACACCCCAAAAAAGGATCTCTTGCCCTTTACAGGCATTAGTGTCTTACACAGAACTCAATTTAAAGTCCTGGTTTCCAGGCCTGGCAGATGGAGGACAGATGTTTCTTTACACTTGGAAAAGTCCACTTCGTGTAGCTGACTCAGAAAAGATTGTATCTTGTTCTGAATGTCGAGGAGAAATGGCATCAGACAGATCACTCCAAACACAAGCCAAGTCACAGGACTCATCACACAGATTGGATTTAAAAAAAAAAAAAAAACCCAAGACAGCAGGATGTTACTGAGTTCTGGACCTAGATGCTTTCAGACGTGTTCTACCCTGAGTTCCAGGCCGAGACCAGAGCATCATAAATGTGTGTGACTGACAGCTGGGCAGTGGCAGGAAGCAATGGCACAATCTTCTCGTGCCAAGCTGGTACTCTGGTGACGTTCAGGCCTGCGGCCACCATGGAGAGCAAGTGGGAACCCGGCCGTCGCTCAAATGGACGATTCAGATGAATAGAAACTTGCAGGGAGCCCAGAGAAATTACCCGGACTGTGCGGGCATGTTTGAAATCCTCACTGAGGAAGAATGAGCAGGCCCAGAAGACCGTCTCACAGCACTGGGAGTCAGGGTGGCAACCTATGAAGGGTTCCTTGGGAACGTTAGGTGTAGGTATTCACGTATGTGTAGTGTGTGGGTGGAGAGGGCATGCTTGCCATAGCTTGCGTGTGGAGGTTGGAGGACAACTTTGCGGAGCTGGTTCTCTCCGTCCACCTTCACACGGGCCTCAGGGGTCAAACTCAGGGGTCATCAGGCTGGTGTCCTCAGTGGCAAGATACCAAGTATTTTCTGTGCAGGGCAGGGCTGTGCTAAAGCCGCCTGTTTACCTGCGCAAGCTCAGGACTTCTGCAAACTGCCAGGTCAGCATCATGCCAGCCTGTCCTAAGCAGCCTCTCTTCACTGTGTGCCTGGCTCTCGGAGGGATGCCGGCAGGACAGCAGGACAATCCTACGCTCCCGAGCTGAAGGCGCTCCAAGTCCTACACTGTGATGTTTTGTTTGTGTGTCATGAAAGTGAATCATTTCTAAGGCTGAAGAAAGAAATGAGTGACATGAAGATTACTCAGTCGCACCCCACACCAACACGGCAGCAGGCCCGCCAGCTTTCGGGGTCAGGCAGATGCCCCCCCAGCACAGGGACACGGCACAGTGGAAATGATGGGATGCTGAGCGCACAGAGGGCACAAGCACCTCTTCTGCCCCTCACCATCCTCACACAGCCAGATCCCCCGAGCCATGTGTCACTCCGGGAAGCACGTTGCTTTTCTCCAGGCATGTCCCAATGCTGGCTCATTCTGATTATCTGCTACAAGGCCCAGGCCGTTTAGCTCATTTCTAGCTCTGCACAAACCTAAAATCCCCTCAGTCATGCATCTTTACCTGAAGAGGGGACGAAGGGAAAGGGCTGCCTTTCTAATCTTCTAGGAGGAAAACAGTTTGTATGATGGAAGCATGTAAGTAAGTCACCTTCTCGTTAGCAGATCTCAGCTAATCTCAGGGCCCCTGAGAGCAGCAGGCCCCTGGTGTGAGCCATCGGTGTGGGCAGCCGTGTGGTGGTCTCACATGCTACAGGCCTCAAGCAATCTGAAGAACCTGGGGGGGAACCAGGAGCGCCAGGATGGCCCAGCTGCGACTGGGAGAGCTTGGGTCCACCTCTCTCTGTGCTCTGTGGTGCAGTCAGCACAGGCAAAGCCCGGGCCACAGATCTAATCCGGAACACAGAATGAACTCGATAAGCTCTGAGCAGCTCCTCCCCAGGCTCGGAAGAGCTAAGCCCACAGCTAAGGGTGGTGAGGCAGAAGCCTGTGAGGAGTTCTGAGACACCTGCCAGCATTTTCCTGTAATAGAGCAGAGCTTACAGGGACTAAATCGTCGCCAGTAAAAAAAAAAAAAAAAAACGCAAACTGGGAGCTTCCTCAGCAACTGGAGGCAAGACCACAGTGTTAGCAGCTCTTAGGTAGACAGAGGTCCCAGGCCGCATTGCCCAGTGGGGCTCGCCATGCTTGCAGTGAGAGCAGGTGTGTACAAAGCTTAGGTTAGGCGACGGAAGTGAAAGCTCTGCATGCGTCGGCACACGCAGTTCAATAGCAGTCATTTGGATGATGTGTCTGTACCGAAATGTGTTTAAAGCTGCGTTGTGTGTCGTGGCATGTGCTTGCATACCGAGTCTTTTCCAGAATATTCATTCAGCACTCAAATTAGAAAGGCTGTTATAACAGTCAAAACCCCCAAACTTCTTAGACATATGAAGTTATACATAGAATAGATATAAAGATTTGGTGCAAGTTTTTGTGTCTGGCTTAAAACCTAGCTGCCCTGCTGACTTTCTGTGTTGTCTAACAGGCGATCCAATATGATAGTCAAGTTGCCTGAACCTACGTTTCACCTATAAAATGGAGTCCCTGCCTGCTTATGCTGTAAGCACCAGTGACGTCCATGAAGCCCGTGGGAGGCGCGCCCACTGACGATGTCTTTGGGAGCTGGGCTGCGTATGTGTGAAATGAGAACAGGCATCTAAGTCAGCAATGCCCTGTGGGTTTGTGACCCAAAGGGGTGCAGGCTCTTAAGGAACATGCTGGACCTGGCGAGGCAGGCAGCAAAGGTGGCTGGGCTCTCCCAGACAGGAGGCTTGGACTAACTGTGTGCTCCGGGCTCCCTAGAGCCTGTGAGCACAGCAGAAGCAGGGTCGCTGGCTCCTTCAAACCATTGACCTTTTCTCAGAAATCTCTCCACGGTGCTTTCTCGCTGGTGAGTTGTATAGCTGCAGAGCTAGATTCGAGAGTGAGCTGCTGGCTCAGAGGACAGAAACTAGGATATGGAAATGGAAGGGACCACAGAGCTCTCCTGTTGCACAGAGCAAGAAAGGCGCAGTACTCTGTGGAAAGCTAGCTTGACCGACTTGGGAAGCAAGAGGCAGCTGCTGTCTTTCATAGTCTATGCACCAGGCCCTAGCATGGCTGGGCCAGGCCAAACCATTTGAGCAGAAAGATGGGCAAGCAACTCCTTTCGCGCAGGTGGCCTGATGCCCCCTAGTGGTGCAGTTGGGTAACGACGGGAGGGAGGCCTTTCTCCTGCTCTCTAACACCGGCCAGGCATTCCAAGAACGACATCACCCTCTAATTAGTTGCTTGCTAATTCCTGTTAAGAAGCAAGTAGCTGTGGCCAAGAACAAGGTGCTATGTGTCAGGCCAAGCCGAACTAGACGTTAGTACAGTTGGACAGGGGCCTAGGGTTGCTAATCTGCAGAAGGACTAAACGTCTTTAGAATCATTGGGAATGCGGAGGCTGTTAACTCCAGCTTTCAACTGCAGCTCCTTAGTAGCTGAAAGGGGACACTGGCTCCGATCCCATTCAACAAGCTGAGTAAATCCTGTCCCTTCAGATTTGAAAATGTGGCAAAAACAAAAACAAAAACAAACCTACCTTTCTGGGAAGAGAGAATGTTGAACGTAGGGACTTTGCTGAGCATAAAGCAGTGTCCTCTTTGCACCAGTATCCACTTAGCTCCTTTGGAGATGGGATCCAGGGATGGGTGAGGCTGACCAGCAGTGGGTGCTGAGGCCCCGCATAGGCGTCCTCCGCACACCTCACCTGGGAGGCCTCACATGGAACAATATCCCTTGCACGCCTCACTTAGGAGGCCCTGCGTGGAGCATCCTTTGCACACCTCTCTTGGGATGGAGTAACTGAGTCTGGGTGAAGCCAAGGCAAGGGGAAACTAAAGTGAACAGGAAACTTGGCTTGAGGACCACAGCAGGGAGAGAGCTTAGACCCCAAACAGCTGCTCTCCAGCTTGGGCTGCTTTGGAACCACGCAGGTGTTTCACACATGTGGCTTTAAGTCCCCCCCTCCCTGGGTGAGGAGGCTGGGCAAGATAACTGTGCATATTGCCAGAGCTACCTGGGCTGGGGAGGCTGAGTCTGAGACACCGCTTTTACCTGACAACTTCCGGAAGAGAAATTTCTGGGAGGGTTTAGAACGTGGGACAGGCAGAGAGCTGGAGGGAAGAGTGAAAAGATAGTGAGGAAACAGAGGTGACCTGGCAAGTTTGGGGTTTGAAGAAAGAGGAGGAAGAGAGTCTAGAGCAATGTGTGCCGAATCCTCTGCGACAAGCATGCCTAACGAGGATGAACTGGTAGAAGGTTCATCTTAGATTTCACTTATCTGTACAGTGCTCAGAAGCGTTGGTGGAAAAAGCACATGAAGGAACAGGTGCCGGCAGCAAGCACGGAGGGGCAGAGCTGGGTCTTGAGCATCTAACCCTGAGGCTTCCTGAGGAAAGGTGGGGGCAGACTGCTTTGAAAAGGCCCCGTAGACTTGGCACAGGCTGCTCCTTCTCCCAGTCCCCGCGCACGGCAGCGCCAATCCACCCTCAGTCCAATGCTTGTGATTCTGTGGCCATTACTGCAAATTAGGAAAACCCAAAGACTGAGATTTACCTGCAAACATAAAAATACATCATGTTACTGACCAGCAGTACAACTGCGTGAGGCGTGAGAGATGGCAGATGCTGTTGGAAGCTGAACAGAAGAACGAGGCAACAACCCAGGCCAGTCCCTTTCTAGGGATTCATCTTATTTGCCATTTATTATAAAAATCTCATTTTTTTTTTTTTACACAAAACATACTTTAAAAACAGCAAATTTTACCCAAATCTACTGAAGGGTAGGGATTTCAATCCAGGGGCCAAAAGCACTGAACATAATTTTGCATTTTCTAGTAATTCATTCCAGATATACATTTCCAAAGATATGGGAAAGATTAAACAACAAAATGTCTCCACTCAAGATCAGTCCATCTTTTTACTTAGGAGTTTCAAGTCTTAGTGTACACGTGAACGTGGCACAGCAGACGTGAGCGCAGACACACCCACTCCACCGCTACACACTTCTGCGTTTTTAAAATCACACCATGTCTGCTAGAAGTAGTGAACATGCAGGAGGCATTCATGCTTGTTTTTCTCAGCTGCGGTTTATTCTGTGTTAAATTCAAAACTTCACCCGGAAACAAAGTTCAATCAGAAGCCACCTCACCTCGGTACTCTGGCTCATTTAATCTGTGTTAATACTCCCATGTTGATGAAGTTGTTCATAGTTTTAGAAGCTGACGAGAATGCAGTCATGGCGTCCATTGTGAAAGGTACATAGCAGACGATGTCACTGGACGGAGATGCTGTGGACAAGAGACAGGAAGGAAACCATCCCGCAGCTCTCCCAGACATGGGACGGTACAGAAGAGGGACACTATCACCCAGGACAACTGCAGCAGGGTTTATCCTGTGTATATAAATATAATATAGATATGTGTATTTCCTTCAGGATGCGAAAGAAATCTTCTTTTCTCCATCTGTTTAGTCTCATTTACTTTTCTGGAACTTATATAGATTCTAGTGCAACGTGCAGTTAATGGAAGCAGGGACCAGAAGCTGGGGTGTTATAATGGGGATGAAGGACTGCCCTCACCCAGGGGTCACTGCAGACGCTGTAACACAACAGACCGCCACTGTACAGTGCCCGTCAGATTCACGAGGTGGGTGAGGACGGGGACACCGCATGTGGGTGGACCAGTGCTACGTCATAAAGAAATAAGGTCAAGTGCACAGAGTAAGTGTTTGGCTGTTTCAATGAACCTATCACTATGATGCGCTATTTTAGTTAAACAAGGCATCTGAATTACAAAACATGAGCAGAGCCACTTCATGACCAAAGAACAACGTCATAAACTTCGTTAGCGCACTGCAGCACACAAATCAGAGCTTGCTGCTTCACCAAGACGCCAAGGATTTTGTGTACCCTGAGCCAGTCTGTTTAACAGTAACAAATATGCTGATACACAGGAGACCAAAAAGAAAATGCAGTATCACTGTGCTGCAGAAACCCACCCCGATGGAGGTGAGGGAATGGCTGTACCTTTGTAGAAACACAAGCGCCTTCTCAAACTAGACTGTTTGCTTTTATTTTAAATACCATAACTAAGGAAACGGAATACTTCATGATTAAAAGTAATGAATTAAAGAAACTGAAAACTGAAATTTGCAGGTACGAAGCATGTGCATTCTCTGTATTTGTGTGTGCAAGCAACTGACCCATATTACTGTAGTATTGTTTTTGATCCTTCACATTTGGTTTTTGGAAAATTCGTATCATGATAATTTGGAAGATTTCATTTTCTCCAGTTAGGTGACTGTGGACACTCAGGTTCGCAGAGCCAGTGCTAACCCACATCCCTGTGTGTCAGGCGGTAGTGTGTTGGTCATTGTCTTAGTGTTAGCTTTAAAAGCTGCCTCAGCATTGCTGCATAAGTGATGAATACAAAAGAGATTTCAAAGCTGTGGTATCAAGAGCAGTATGGTTTCTGCCAGTGACAACGGCTCAGACCTCGTGATGGGTCCTTCCAGGGAATGCTTCGAGGAGGTAGGAAGAGTTAGCTAACTTGGAAACAAGGCACGGGGGCTTTCTCTTTTATCAGGTGAAGGGTGGAAAATCTCAACTTTTGAAATTTTCCTTATAGAAGAGGGTGGGGTCTTTCATTTCATATGAAGTATGGCTGATAATATTGAAACCCCTCTCACATGCAAGGTTTATGTTCAAAAACCTCAGGTAGTTCCAGTCAATGTCGAAATTGGACCATATGATGATTCTACTGGAGAACATTAACCATCACCTCACCATTCTTAAAGAAGTGAAAATAAGAAAGCCCTGGCTACACCAGGACCTGCCCGTGAGGTCCCAGGGAGGCTGCCTCAGCCAACCCTGGCCCCCCGAGAGCATTCTAACAGGGCGAGCTTTGCTAAGATGACTGTTTTCACTTGGTTCCTTGACATCCATGGTGTGTCAGGCAGCTTTGGGCCTTCGGTATCTTCTTTGTCACTAACCTTACTCAAGTGTCCTCCATGTCATTCTTTTCTCTGAGCATCAGGCCTGTGTGGCAGGTCAGGGGACAGGCATTTCATCTGCTTCAAAGACTCACTCTCATCTTTCTAGAACAAATGAAGAGAAAAACTGCACACCGCGGTTCTGTTCTTAGGAGACTCTTCAGAAGATTCTTGACCCCACAGTGTTCGCAGTTTTTTTTTTTTTTTTTTTTTTTTTTTTTTTTTTTTTTTTTTTTTTTGTTTTTTTTTTTTTTTTTTTTTTTTTTTTTTTTTTTTTTTTTTTTTTTGTAGCTGCAGTTAATAGATTGCTTGACAGTCAGGTCTGAAAAGAGGTGGGTTCGTCATGCCTAGACCCATCAGAGAAAAGCGCAAAGCAGCATCCGCTTCCCCAAGCTAGCCTGCCCATTTTATTTATTCAACAATCTGCATGGTAACGAGGGGCCGCAGACATGGCTCCCTGTCAGGAGGAGCACGGCGTATCCAGGAGATGCCGGGCGCGGGTGGGCATCAGTTAGGCGGGCTCAGCGAGGGGCTGAGCAACAGCGCCCGCTGGCGTCGCGTCGAGAGGCCACGCGGATGGAGGAGACCCACATTTTTATTTAGTGCTCACTCTATTTCTACAGAGCAGTTTCCAGTCAACTTCCCAGCCCAGCTCTTGCCCTCCCCTCCATCGCAGTCCGGGAGTGGCTGAGGATCACCCGCATGCGTGCGCAGCGGCAGGGAGAGGTAGGTGGTGCTGCAGCCCTGTCCTCTCGCAGGGAGCCCCTCAAAGGCCGAGGGGAGCAAAGCACAAGGCTCTGTCACCCCAAAGGGGTCAGTTGCAGAGTACAAAAACCCTTGGAGCAGAATGCATACAAACATGAGAGTTGTAATGAGCCCAAACCAGGAATCATTAAGTTCCGACAGAGATGAACATGCTCATCGTACAGAAAGCGTGCTCACAGGGATAGAATGAGACCGTACAGTACAAAATATTTCGTGTTTCATATAAAATTCTTAACATTTACAAAAGGCTTTGAGGACCGACAAGAAGGTACTTCGGGACCATACCGACTTTTAGGAAGTTGGGTCACGTGCCCTAGAAACCCTGGCTCCTGTTCTAGGTGAACGCCAAATGTCCCAGGGATGTTCGCTGTTGTTCAGAGAAAACCAGATGAAGATTCCAGCAAAATGACAAAGGAAAGGAGAAGCAGGCCAAGATGGAACTCTGCCAAGCACGGTACACTCTGCTTAAAAAGTGAAAGGACAGAAATCAAAGCCAGTGGAGAGCATACGTCAAGGAAATTTATACTGAGGAGTCTTCGTGGGCTTGGTGATAAATATCAAATTAGGAAGTCATGTGAAAACAAGTGTGCAAATAAGTAATGGGCGAAAAGAGAGAGGAAAAATGCAGTCCTGAAGATAAAAGTCTCCATAATTGCACGCCTCTCAATCCACCTTCAACACATACTGTCTGTAGCATCTCAATAATTAAAAATCAGTTACTCACAAAACTCCAGTGTTGACATCTTTTTCCTACTTGATTTAGATCCTGAAATGAGTTATCTGTAAGATTTTGGTTATGATGTGCCACAATCAGCGGCCATTTTTCATCTTGATAACTGAGGAAAGTCCATTCTCCTTTCCCGGTGCCTGGCTTTACAGCTGCTTTTGCCGTGAGCCTGACCTGAGGGTTAACACTTATCCAGGCACGTCTGTAAGCGCTCTGTCACAGGCGGCGGAAGGGTACTGAGCAAACTGTCCTCGACAATCAGACAGCTCCGTTTCAGGGACTGGCAGCCTTCCAGCTCTGGGGGCAGCGTCTCCAGGTAGTTCCCAATGAGCTCCAGGTGGGTGAGGTTGGACAGCTCACCCACCAGAGGGGACAGGTCTGTTAGGCTGTTTCTCCCCAGAAGTAGACACTGGAGCTTCTTGCACTGGAACAGCCCATCTGGGAGCATCTCGATCTACGAGGAGAAAGGAAGCAGGAGAAACCAGTTTGGACCGACCGGCTCTGATAGCACATTCATTCATGTACTTACATTCCAGTTCCTGTTCTTCAAAAACAGGCCTGCAGGCCCACAGGGAAAGACACCGCAATGACTGTAAACTTGTAAACAGAGAAAGGAGAGTATGGGTAAGGGTAGCCGGTGGCCAGGGCCTCTGTGAACGTCCATGCTCTCCTCAGTGTGGGTGGGCAAACAATTTGGTTCTGAACACTCTTGATGTGATTCTTAAAGAGAAAGTACATATATAGTCACTGATTCTAAGAGTAAAGAAAACAAGCCAGTGACACAGGAGAATTGTAATTACTGACTACTGGATCAGAAATAAATTACTCTCCAGAGTCCCCATGAAGATCTTAGCGTGCTAATCATGAGCAACCCCACAGGGCCTCCTGAGAGGAGGCTAGGGCTATTTCCTAAACTGCTTTTCTCAGAGGATGAAACCCAAACATTTATTTTCAGTAGTCAGCAAAAGCAGATGAAAAAAAAAAAAAAAAAAAAGGCGATGTGTACATGTATGCTTCAGCTCCTCGCAGACACACGTCTGAGTGTCTTCTTGTGCCCTCACAGCCATGAAAGGATTCGTATAGCACTGTGAGGTGAACAAAGTACAAACTGGGTCAGCCTGGGAGTGGCTCCCCTGAGCGCCCCCGTGTACGACCAGCACAGTGTATGCGTGCGCAACGGAATGGACTCACTGCACGCGATCCCCTCACCTCATCCCTGGCCCGGAGCCCCGGGAGGGAGCAGCAGCCTCGGACCGGAAAGCCCACCCACACTGGCTCAGGGCAATGTGCAAGCATTAGCTCCTTGGTTCAGGAGGTGGCTTTGCTGTGTGTGGATGAAAGGCAGAGAGGGGCTCTTTCAGCATCCTCTGTTGGCTCAGTGCAAATTCACTGCGCCAGCCCTGAGGGGCAGAGTTCTCCTCCAGGACACGTTTCGTAAACTCAAACTCAAACTCGCAAAACTGCACTGAAAATGCTCATCATGCTCAAAACGCCTCTTGTCTGCTCATTCCCCCCCTGGCTCAGCCCCGTTTACCCGTGAAAACAAGCCTGATGCTCACACTGCTATGGCGGACATCAGCACTGGTCACTACTGTCTGCGCTACTGTATGCACTAAAGCAAGACATTAGCAAAGGAAAATCGTGTGCTTACTGCCTTTCTTCTCAGGCACAGACGTGAGCTGCCACCTGCGAGGATTTCATACTGAGGGGCGGGCAGAGGAGAAAGGCACAGATGGAGCTGCTCCGAAAGCCATCCCTGTCACAGCTTTGTGCCTCAGGGCTGGGTCCCGATAGGTGTGCTGAACCCTGGGGTGGGAGTGGGGTAGAGGGGGGCTTGCTTCCCTAGCACCCAGGCACCATATGCTGAATGGCCTTCATGGTGCCAGGATGCTCACACATGGGGGATGACGCACTGAGCACCCCACATGCCCTCCCGGCTTTGTGTCTGCGGAAAAACTCAGGCTCGGGTGTTTTCAGTGGGACATTTCTGGCTGTGGGGCTGTTCTATATGTGGCGATGTTGACCGGGTTTCCTTGTCTCCAGCTGTCAGTGACACTCTCCTCTGTGGCTTTAACTGCCCAAAATTATCTTCAGCTGATGTCTGCCGAGGGAGCAGGAGCATCTCTGGTGGAACACCGTTGTGTAAAGAAGATCCGTTATACCGAGGATGTGCGCTCTGGCCCCCACTGCATCCAGCTGCACGCGGCGCCAGAGCGTGTAACGGGACCTATTTTTCCCCTAGGTGCTCATCCGGAAGTGGTGGTCCTCAGCTCTCTCCTGCCTGTGCCTCTAGATTCCCAGTCTTCTTCCATGGCCTGCATCTGCGGTGTCTGTGACTTCCGAAGACCCTGAGCTGAGGAGAGGGTCCTAATTTGCCTGCCCTCCGTTAGGAAGGGGCTTTAACAGCCAGGCCTCCCCTTCACTTAAGCACTTCTAGCCAGAACTATTTACAAGAGTTCAAGGTCACCCTTGATGGTGTAAATTCGAAGGACTTATGATCCCGTTTTTCAAAATAAGTTCCATGAGACTGTATGTAATTCTCTGAACATGCGCCTTTCCTGACTGCATCATACCTGACCACATTCATCACTAAGGTATGTTTTATGGGACAAGTCACTCTTCCCAAAGCTCCTAAGAAAAAGGTATCTTGCCCAAACACATGGCAAATCAATTCTCCTCTTGGAGAAGTGAAGTGTGTATTTACACATGAAAGGCACCGAGGAATCCTAGGATGAAAATGTGACTCAAAAAGACACACCGGATGCTTGCTATGAGAGCCCTATGACCCTCCTGTGCAGGGGGCTCTGGAGGCTCTGCCATGAACACTGGTCCCCTGGAGGACTGCCGGGCTTAGGGACACTCTTTTCATGACTCAGTGGGAAGCAGATGCATGTCCTTGCAGACCCTACCAGATTCTTGAGTCCCCAGGTCCCCTGCATCTGGAGAATGGGCATTCCGGAAGCAAGAATCGGGTGTTCATCATATACAAATGTGGAACTGAAGCTGCCGCAGAACAGGAACACTAAGGAGCCTCCTCTGAGAGGCAAGGGCTGGAGCAGTTCCCAGAACGGTACCCAGGCCCAGCATGGATGAGAGAGGGCGCTGTGGGCGCTGCACCTCTGTGCTTGCTCTGGCCTCTCCCCGCAGTCGCCTTCCTTTCTTCCTGTTTCCAGGTTGGGTTTTGCCGACTTCACTTTCCTGTGATGCTACAAGATGAGATGCCTGTTATCCTCTTAGTAAATGGGATCTTATTCACGTTACAATGGGTACTGATGCGTCCGTTGTGAACGCTTATGTTTTCAGGAATATTGTAGACTCCCTCATGGGACCATGAGGATTTCAAGATTGGATGGTACTTTGATATCTGCATCTCCACGTGAAATACGAACCTCCACCTTTCTTTAACACCGGTCCCACTGATTGGCTGAAAATGAATCTGGACAGCTTCGGCCCTAAGTCGGCTCCATCCTTCACGTCAAGAGCACACTCTGCTTCCTACGGACTTTGTGGCCAGAGGAGAAGTCTTCCCCCAACTGCCCTGTTCACCAAGCGTTCAGATGTTTCAACACTATGATACTGAAGATGTTCTCTCCGCCTTCCTCCAGCTTACCGCTATCAGGCCACACTGTCCTGTCAGCGGGTCATTTCCTTCTTAGAACAGTGCTTTAAAAAATTACTCACTCTTTCACAATTCCTGACACACACACTGATGACAGTCCCATTATCCTCCTGCCTCTTCTCCCTCCCACTGGCCCTTTTCTCACGCCCCTCCCGCTTTTGCGCCTGTTGATTTGTTCATTGATTGTGTGTGTTTATGCCGGTGGGTGCATTCCAGCCACAAAGGTGTCCGAGGACAACTGTAACCCATTTCTTCTCTGCTCCCACCATGAAGGTTATGGGGCTCCTGGAAAGCACCTATGCCAGCTGAGCCACCCTAGCTCTGGTCTTCTGCGGCCCACGGCCTATGATCAGAGTTTACTGTCCACACACACACGTGGTGGTGTGCGGGGATCGAGGGGGCTACTTCCGTCTCTGACTTCACACTCTTAGGAAAGTGTTTACAGGTGTCGTGTTCACCCTGAGAATGGGTGGCCATAGGCCAATGCTCGGGTTTCCGAGACAAGGCACCTGGGATATTCCATTCCACCCTGGCCTAGGAGAAAGCTGAAACTTTCTTATGCTGTAATGCGTCCTCCTTCTGTCATGACAGCGCTTTCGGAAATGGCCAAGAAGTCAAGAAACTTGGCATCAGAAGTATGAACGGTCTAAATTTGCCTAATCATGGCCCCAGCGTAGCCAGCCACCAGCTGTTTAAAACCTATAACTTTTTTTTTTTTTAATTTGTAAAAAACATACAAAGTGTGGAGAGTCCATACCCAACTACGGCCTGACTGTAAATGACAGCACAATATTAATTCTACCCTTGAGAGACAGTACCAATGGTCTTAAGCTTTCATTAAGTTTACCTGCCAAAAGATTTCACCTGTTTATACATTAAATAAGGCACGTCCTGCCACCCATTCATGTGGCCATTTCACTGCATCACAAACAGAATCCGTGCTTTCCCAGATAATTATCCACACTTTTTACTCTAGCTGTAACAAAGGAGAAAATGTGACCCAAGCTAGTTTACCGCTCAACCTTTAGATTTGTGATTTTTATAGAGACTTCAGGGATGCAATCAAGAGTGTCTTCCACTGGCTCTACTTAATCATATGCTCTCTCTCTCCCTCCCCCACCCCTGTGTGTGTGTGTGCGTGTGAGCGTGTGTGTGTTGGCAGAGAGTTGCCCTACACTATGTACTTTAATCAGTTCTTCAGGTAATTCTCATATATACTGCTAGTCCACGTTGGCCCTGCTGTAACTGTAAAACCTCATGCCCCGAGGGACTTCTCATTTATCGCGGTGGGCACGCTTCTTTTATGTATGAGTCTCAGCATTCTGAAAGAGCAACAGCAGCTTGTCTGGAGGATGCGTGTTCTGGGATGAGCTGGAAGAAAACAGCAGCGCCCCCTCTTCATTCAGCGGGAGAGGCCAGTCCCAGGCTCTTGGGTTCACTCTCCCTCCCACTTACACTTTAGTCATTCTTTGCCATCAGACTGGAAGGAGTTTTTCCTTTGTTGTCCCCCTCTGTCACGGTTTAAAGTAGGAAACTACTCTTTAGTTTTTCTTTTTCTTGTTTCTGTGAAGTTACACTTTCCTTCACTGTTGCAAATTACGGTTCATTTTTAAGTGTGGATGCTGGGAAGAAGCTCTGAGAAGCCTCTGGCATCACATACAACCAGGCCTTCCATTTAGAATTGTCTTTTTAGATGCACAGGCAGACCTGCAAGCATTTTTTTTCTTACAGCATTATAAAAAGAATTTATGAATAATTCATAATACCATCAGTTTAAAGGGGCTATCTTTGGTAGAATGAAAATCTTACCAAGCTCCCTCAGTCCTCAAGACCTTCCCAAACAAAACTCAGCCCCGCCATCACTAATTAGTGAGTTTAAATGCTCTAACTGTGATATTTGTGCAGGAAATGGGGAAAGAGAATAAAGAGAACGTTTGCTGAGCCACTGTTTGCTCACAGAATACCCGTGATAACTTGTATAACAACTCAGGGCTTTGGTAATTTGCCAAGATCGCAGGGGAAGAGGCTGAGCTGGGAGAAGGCTCAGACCCCTGGGTGTACAGGCTCGCGCAGCCTCGGACCAGCCAAAGGAAGGAAGGACGGGGCTACTCACGTTGTTGTTGGTCACAGCGAAGTACTGGAGGTTGGCCAGGTACTGGACCTCCTCTGGGATGAAGGTCAGGTGGTTGTAGCTTAGGTCCAGGTAGTGCAGCTTGGTGCAGAGGAAGAGCTGCAGGGGCAGGCTCTCGATGTTGTTGTGCCCCAGGACCAGCTGCTCCAGGTTGGACAGCGCGCCGATCTGCGCCGGGATGTAGGCGATGCTGTTGTGCCAGAGCTTCAAACAGGACAGGCTGGGGAGGTGCTGGAAGCTGATGATCTCCTCCACCGTCTTCAGGTTGTTCTCCTTCAGGTCCAGCTCGTGCAGGTTGTTCAGGCTGAAGATGGAGTGGGGGATGCGCTCCAGGTCGCAGCCCAGCAGCTCCAGGCTCTTCAGGTTGACCATCTTCTTCAGGTTGTTCAGCACGACCAGCTTGCTTCCCTCATTGTCCAGGGACAGCTTCTGCAGGGAGGGCAGCAGGTCTGTCACCACCTGGGGGATGCGAGACAGGCTGCTCTTGAGGTGGAGGGTCCGCAGGTTCTTCAGGTCCTGGAAGCCCTCCAGCTGCATGGTGCCAGGCTGCTCGGGGAGGACACAGCCCGACAGGTAGAGCTCCCTGAGGTTCTTCAGGTGGAACACCCAGCGAGGGATCTTCCCCATCTCGGTGAACTTCAGGCGGAGGATCTTCAAGTTCTCCTCCAGGAAGGCCAGGGCGGAGTGGTCGACCACCAGACATGAGTGGTACACGTGGAGCTCCCTGAGGTTGACGAGCTGGGACACGGCGGCGGGCAGCTTGACCTCGGGGATGAGCTCCAGGCTCAGCACCTCCATCTCCGTCAGCTCGAAGACGTTGTCCGGAAGGCCACTGAGCATGAAGAGATGCAGCTCGATCTTGTCCTGGGCGTTTTTCACAAGCTTGCTCTTCAGCTTCTCCACCGTCCACTCGTTGTTGAGGTTGATCTGCTTCAGTTTGTTCTCGCTCACCTCCGACAGGAAGATGGAGAAGCGCTTGGAGTAGAGCGGGTCGTACTGGTCGGCCAGATGGAGGATGAAGGCGAAGTCGTTCTTGACGTCGGGGATGTCGCTGTAGTTGCTCTTCTCCCGGAGCGCCTCAAAGGAGTACTGCTTGAGGGAGCTCCTGAGCATCCACCACAAGCTGTAGGAGGAGGTGAGGCCATAAAGGATCACCAAGATGACATAGAAGGAGGCTAGGACCTTGAAGATCTCTGCCAAGGAGTAGACGCACTGGTAGCGCTTGTAGCCCGTGAACGCCTGCACGTCAATCGAGCAGTCGATTTCGAGGGTTATGTAGCTTAGGAAGTACGGGACGTAGGCTATGATGAGGACGAACAGAATGACCTTGACGATGATCTGCCTCAGGTACACCCGGTAAATGATGTCCCTCTGCTCCACGTGGAGGCGGAACCTCTTCACCTTCTCAAAGATGGCTTTGGCTTGCTCGCCCTCCTTCTTGTCCAGGACGCTGGAAGTCGGGCTCTCTATGCCAGGTGGCTCCAGGCCCGGCTGTGGGTAGGGCAGGGACTGTTTGCTGGCATCGGCGTCGGCGGAACCCCCTGAGGTGGAGAGCAAGGTTTTGGACTTGGAGAGTTTCAGGGGCCTCCCGGACTGCTCGGCCACCGTCTCTGACAGGGCGCGGGTGGTCCACGGGGAGTCGAAGCACTTGTGGAGGATGGACACGAAGTGCTCCAGCCTGGAGCTGGTGCTGGGGTAGTGGAGCCAGAAGTTGCTGCAGGCTGCGAAGATGAGCGTGTGCAGGAGCACCAGGTAGGGGAAGAACTTGGCGAACCAGTGCAGCTGCTTCTCGTAGCAGACGGCGTCGATGTAGGAGTACTGCTGCCGGTGCAGGTCGTTCTGGATCCGCAGCGGCAGCGGCAGCGGCGACAGCAGGCCCGGGGCTGAGGACACGTTCTCGCCGCCCCTCAGCAGCTCCCAGGGCACGGCACAGTGGCTGTCGAATTCCACCTTGCACGGAAGGCAGCAGAGCACCCTGCTCTGGGTGAGCTGCAGGGCTCCGGCCAGCACGGCCACCAGCAGCATGATGAGGGTGATGTAATACCAGAAGACGTCCCACCAGGGCTTCAGGATGTGATAGGATGACTGCGCGTCGGCTAGGCATTTCAGCTCAGTTAGTGTGATCATGGCTCCCTGGCAGAGGGCGGGGGCTGGGGCGGAGAGAAGGAAAGAAGCCTTGCTGAAACCCTTCCGGCGTGCCTTCCTGGGCCTTCCTGTTCCCTGGCACTTGGGGTTTGAGCTAGGGTCTCGGGCAGCTCGGCCCGGCTTCAAACATACTCATCCTACCCACTTGGCAGGGTCTCGGTGACAGGTAACCCAAGAGCAGGACCGGTCAAGGGGCGTGAAAGGCTCTGGCTTCACCTCTAACCTAAATCACACTGAACTACATAGCTTTTTCCTTAGCTTGAGGATATACGGAAGACATATGTATGAAGGGCTTTAGGGGCGAGCTTGCGGCAGCTCTTAGTTTACCTTCTGCTGGATCTCAACTCCAAGGCCACGGTGGCTGCTCTTACTCTATATATCCTGCCCTCAAAATCCCCAAAGAAGCCCTTTCCAGACAGAGCCCGTGTGGCACTGTTGTTTGCCACCTGAGAGTTGCTCACCCCCCACAGAGAGCCTTTCTGTGAGAGCACTGCTTTATAAAAGTATCCCTCAGGCTTGGAGGACTCTGCCCATTGCTTGGAAAGCAAATGGCCGCTGAACGGATTTCCCCTTTCTCTCCAGGCCTTCTCTATGTATCTTAAGTACGTGACTATGTGAAAACTTGGGAGCATTTGAAAGAGGAGAAACAACCGTAATGGTTTAAAAAGGAGTGGTGAAGAGCAGCCCGGAAGAGAGCCAGGGAGCTTCATGGTTAATGTGACAGCACAGGGCACACGATGGCGGTGCGCCCTTTGCTGCTTAGTCATGCCTTCAGAACCAAAGTGCACCTTATGTCTTACACTGAAAGGACCTCAGGCCTTTTACATTATCTCATCAGTCCTGTTTTCTGAGAACCCCCTTCTCTTGTGTCCATGCTTCTCTGGGGTCCAAGAAGAATTTTCTTTTCATCTCACGTAATCCTCTGGGGATTAGGATGAGGGTCAAGGTTACAGTTGGCTGCCGTGAGGGTGAAGCATAATAAGAAATGAGGGTCAGATCCCCAAAGGGTCAAGTTCTCAAAAACAAGTGCAGCACTGCTTATTCCATTTTTGTTTAGAAATGCTACTTAGTAAAATCCAGACCACCTGTAGGACAGCAGAGGCTCACACACAAGGAATGTTTGGATCTTACACAGTGTTTGTTAGGACAACAACAAAAATCACAGTAGCTGGCAGGGCAGATCAGTTCTACATCCAAGGCCTCTTCTTGCCTCTGTGAGTGTCCAGTCGCCACCTTCCCGGGGCCTCACTTACTCTCTATGCACCACGTCACCAGTAATACCTCACAGGAGCCTCCCTGGTTCTCCCTAGTCCTCCTGGTCAACCTCGAGTCCTACACGTGCTGCAGCCTAAGTCCCAGGAGCCTGCCACAGAAGCTGCCACAGCTCAGTAATCTCTCATGCTGGCATTCTTGGTATGGAATGCCTGCTTCTCCACTTCCTAAGATACCCCTCGACCCCAGGTTTCACCTCCTGGAATGGAGGCCCGCTTTTTTGTCTGTACCTTCTCTGGGAATGGTGTCTCATATGTTTCCTCCGCCTGACTATAAAATTCGCCAGGGCTTCCGTCCTTTACTCTAGGATGGCAGATCTGACCCTCAGTTCTTCTCAGCCGGCCTCACTCTCACTGCAGGCTGTCCTGTGTCAAGGCAAACTGTGCTGTCCAGCCCAGTCCCAAGACAATTACATGAGCCTAATAAAATGTTCTGGTATTTGAACTCAAAGGACCATGAACACAATAGAAAAGGGATCATAGAAAACATTACTGCATGAAATAACACATATATGGGCTGGAGAGACAGCTCAGAGGTGAAGAGCATTGTCTGCTCTTCCAGAGGTCCTGAGTTCAATTCCCAGCAACTGCATGCTGGCTCACAACCATCTATGATGAGATACGGTGCCCTCTTCTGGCACGCAGGTGTACATGTAGACAGACTACTGTATACACGATAAATAAAATCTTTTTTAAAAAGTAATAACAGATATATTAAAAACGCACGCATGCCTTCAGTCAGTCATGTGGTAACTATTATGCTCTGATAGTGATCCAACCTTTGGCCATGTTAACAGTGATCCCAGACAATTCGGGGGCAGCAGCTTTGTTCCTATGAAGTGAGATCCCACCTAACACACAGATGAAGATGAAATGGGACGACAAAACCTCAGGAGTGGCCACCTTAAACGGCCTCCCCCCTGTGGAGGAACATGAGGAGGGGGTGATGGTCGCAGAGATAGAAGGGCACACTTTTGTACACACAGGAACCTGTGCACACTGGCCGATGTTGTGGAAGGATGACGGGGGTTGGAATGGGGGAGAATGGAGAATTAGGGGGTTGGAGGAATTTTTTTTTCACAGCGCTGCAAATTTGCAGTTTGCTAGTATTGGAGCTTTTGTGAGCTTTTTTCTAAGCCTATCCCCTTACGAGAACCCCAACAAACTCACTGCCTTACTAAGCAGGGTTGGGTGGAATTAGTTCGTTTGATCTGTTGGTATGTCATCTGAGGTGAACAGATATTTCTGTTTCCTTACGAGAAATGGCAGAATGTACCTCATGGAGGAAGGAACGTGGGGATTTATTTCAGTAACAGAACTAGATAGGTAGAAGGTTTATACAGGAAGACATATTTTAGGGGGAGGGTCTCATGCTGCCCAGGCTGGCTTAAATTTGATATGTAGCCAAGGCTGACCTTGCATTCGTGGTAAGACTACAGACATGTGCTATGACGTAAGGCTGGAATCATCTGCTTTCAGCCCTCGGTCCTAGCTGGTCTCCACGGTAAAATGACTGTCCCCCAGGAAGGCTACAGTGGGATTTCTTGTAATGGAAAAGAAGAGTGAATCATATCTTTAAGGACTTTCCCAGCCTGAGTTTATGATTTTATTCATTCCCTACAGTTCTTGAGAGACACATTCATTTACTATCTCAAACCGATCCTGGGGAGAGAGAAATGACAGCCGGAGCAGAGCTCAACAAAGGCTCCGTGCCAACACTGACCAGACAACACCGCACAGATTCATACTTACTTTATGAAAAAGCGAATCAAATTAACTGCGCCTCAGTCGGGGGGTCTACACCTTTTGAAGTTTCTGAGACACACCATCTCTGAGTTTGTCTTCATTCTGTGAGAGAGCAAAAATATCTTGGAGATACTGTTTTCGGAGACCCTTTCCACCAAATGTCACACAGAGACACTCACCCAGGGCTTGTCCCAGTAAAGGTCTATGGACAGGACGCCACCCCCAGGCACCAGGCCATATCCTGGATTTCTTTTCTAAAGGGCTTGCTAAAGCCCTCTGTAACCCTTAGCCCTTCCCAAGTGTTTTACATATGTTAATCTCTTCTCCAGCCTCACATGCAATCTGTATGTGCTGGCAAAATGTACCTGCTTTTGCCAGCTTGCTTATTGCACCATGAAACTTCTATAACCAACTTAAAACCACAAAACCAAAATCAACCAAAGGATTGTGTTCATAGTCTCCTGCTGCACCATAGAGAACTGACTGGGCAGCTGTCCTGTGATAGCTTAGCATCTTGTCCAGCTTGGCATCACAATGTTTCTTGGACAACAGATTCTCTTCATTGTTAGATAGGTTTTCTCTACTACAGAAGGAGATAGAAACCTACACCTGACGGGAATCATGTGAAATAATCTTGAGGGGAAAGTAACTGTCCAGAGGACCCCAAGTGCTTACGGTTTTGTCCTACTTATTTTGTCAGGAAATAAACCGTAAAGTTTCTCCATTTGCTTTTTAAAACACGACCGGTCCTGACTAAGCATGCCCATGTATGCCAGGAGATGGAAATATATGATACATGGATGTGGCCCAGCGCACTTGTAGGTGCTGTCACGTCTCAGTGTCAGAAGTCTGCACACCTGCTGGTAAGACTTTCCTCAAATCGGCTAACCCACCAAACTATCAAAGTCTTTTGATGAGGTTCTTATGAATAAGATCAAATAAAAATGGTTTACCATTAATATCCCAACTGAGTATCTGCATTCAAAGCACATTTTATTTATTTCAAACCTTTTCATACTTAAACGAGGCAGTGAGATAAAAACCAGGCCTTCATATGTTATAAACAGGGGAAACAAGGCCGGCCCAGAGAACTCACCTTGCCCGATGTAACAAAAGTGTCAGGGAAAGACAACGACAACTGAACTCAGGGACTCAGACTGCAGGCCTTGTCTACACCAGATCACATGACCCTAGTGAGTCCAATTAACTATGCCCCGTCTCAAGAGCTACAGAAAAAGCTATTCAGCCCTTTGCCTGGCATCTGCGTCAGGACTGAGTTCTATTATAGTCCCCAAAACAAGGATTCAAGTGTTTCTGTGACTTTTCCGGTTACAGAGGCACAGGCCATATGTGAGTTCACAGCTAGAGATTCCCACTCAGCGCTTTCTACCGAGCTGAGACCTCCTCTTTAAATCCTTCACCTGGGTTTACCGAGCATGACAAGTCAGAAGCCTTCCGTACCCAATGCTGGTGTTTCTAACTGACGTGCTTAGAGCTGAGCCATTATGTCAGTGAACAGTGTTTGTGCTCCAAACCGTTTCCAGACCACATATTAGCAAACAATGAGGAGGATTCAGTCCAAATGAGATCTCCGTTTCTAACACACAAGTGCACTAAATCACTTCAAAGAAATAATGTGAAGAGTAATGGATTTTATGGTCCCAATTCCACTCTTTCAGCTTTTAAATCTCATTAAAAAGTCATCAAAGCTCTTCAAAGCATACAAATTCATCTGACAGCCTCATCCCAACGTCTCCAAGCCTGGAATAACAACACTCAAGTCAGGCATCTTGATTTCCCAGTAGCCCTTCTTTTACTTTGAAATCATTTCCAAAATAACTAGCGAAAACAAACAAGCAATGATCAGATGATCTTCAGGGTCACTAGATGCTGAGAACTTGATGCGACTTCAAAGGTCTGGGTTTCCGATCTCAGGCAAGCGATGGAAAGCAAGGGTCTCCTCCACAGCGTCCGACCCCTACCACAGGGAGTAGGGGTCACTGCAGGCCCAGAGCGGGCGGGGCCACCATCCAGACTGAAAAGTCCAGAAACGCGACCCCAAATTCTGTTACTGATTGTCCTCAGAATTTTGTCACAGGAACAGAAGGTGAATGAATACAGTCAACAGCCGAGTTAAAATTTATTATGATCTAGTAAGATCAGACAGAAGTTCAGACAGGAATGAGCCAAATGAGTTTGGATTTTGGTCCTCTGACATTGTAGGCTCTTACAGTTTCAGCACATTAAGATGTCTCAATGTGTCAAATCTTAATATGCAGAAATGCAAACTGCAGGGAAGAAGTTTCGGCGTTTGTTTGGGGCATCTTCAGATGGGCAGAACCTGTGGCGTGGCCTGGGTGGGAGTCAGCAGCATATGGGTACAAGAGTCTGGCTGACTGTTCTCTAGTCTGCGCTTCGACAGCCCAGATTCCACAAAGGTTGATTTTCTGAGTCTTTTCCTTCCCAGTTTTGGCCAGCTCCAAATGTCCTCATATGCTAATTACGGCAGCTGGTGCTAACGCTTGAACCTTCAGAGCTGTGTGTTCAAACAAAGCACTTACTGAAGAAACCCCAAGGCTAGCCCACACAGGGCAAGATTCACAGCTATATTCTGTCCCAGCAGTCTTCCAGCCATGAACAGTTTGTATGCCTTCTACATGCAAAGCTCACTAGCTGGGGTGGTCTGAACAGGTATGGCCCCCATAGAGTCTTGGTCATAGGAAGAGGCACCATTAGGCGGTGTGGCCTTGTTGGAGGAAGTGTGTCACTGTGGAGGCGGGCTTTCAGGTCATATATGCTCAAGCTACACCCAGTGTGACAGTTTCCTGCGGCTGCCTGCAGATCAAGATGTAGAACTCTCAGCTCCTTCTCCAGCACCGTGTCTGCCTGTGTGCTGCCAGGCTTCCTGCCATGATGATATCGGACTAAACCTCTGAAACTGTAGCCAGCCCCAATTAAATGTTCTCCTTTATAAGAGTTGCTGTGGTCATGGTGCCTCTTCACAGCAATAGAATTCTAACTAAGACACTAACCATCCTGCAAAAGTTTCACCCCACCATGGATGGAATCAGGTTCAGGCTTGAGATTAGAACTGTGTTATCTAAGCCATAACTAGGATGCTATGGGCATCAAATCTGGATGACAGGATGGAGGGGCCTTAAGTTACTTTGTTGAGGGTCTTAGCCCTTTTGTTTTACTGAGATCCAGTGCTACTGACAGCATTTTCCTGAAGCTGATGTTTGGATCTGAGGTCATTTCTTCAGTAAGCCCTTATGTGTGAGGCACAGAAACAATTTAAAAATTTAAATTAAAAAAAAATATTTTCATTTAGGATCCTAGACAATTTTAGACTGGAATATTTCTTCTAAAGTTTTTTTAAAACCTGAACTTTCCTTAATCCATTTCTCTGCCCATACCTGTATCACTGTGGCTAAAATGAGGAGCCCCAAGCTCTGCTGAAAACCAGCCTGCAGGCTGCCATCTGCAGTTCAGCTGGCCAGCCCTTATGCTCCATGTAGGTGACAGCTGGCTGGACTTGCTGTCCACTCACAAGAGGACAGAATTCTACACCCTCTGCTAGATGCTTCCTTACTGGTCCTCAAACTACCTGGAAGGTTGAATTTTCACTGAGCTTACAGGTCTTTTCTGCTAGCTATGTTCTGTGCCCAAGCCTTGTATTTCATTACGGTAGAATGTCACTTCAGGATACCAATTTCTGCCATCGCTACTTGGTCTGTCAAAAAAACCCACACACATCTCAGTCTCTAAAACAAGCACTTCATTATTCCCCATGACTCTGTGGAATGATAAGCAGTTCTGATCCACGTGGTGTTTGTTAGGGTAGATGGAAGGAAGGTCCAGCCTGCAGTCACAGGGCTACGCTTTGGCCACGGTTGACCCAGAGCCCACCTGGGCTTCTGGCTGAGGCCCTCCCGGTGTCCTAGCGGTTCTTCCTGCTGACCGTCAATGGGGATGATTTCCAAGAGGAACTGCTGCTTCAGGTCACAGATCCCCACCTTGGATGTTGGCCCAGAAGAGTAGCAGGGACTTCCTCCACTGCTGTGTCTGTTCAGGGAGGGAGCAGGGCCCCAGAAAGAACTCTTTGAGGAATCATTTTACTCTGGTGAGTGCAAAGCAGAACTGCTGTCTGAGTGAGGTAAGATTTGGAAAGGCGGGGAAAAAACATTCTGGGAGTCCGTTTCAGGGAAAGGCACTATTGTCAGTCAAACAACAAGAAAAGCAGGTGGAGACAGGTAATGGTCATTTGGCAATTTCCTAATGAGTTTGTTAAGTAATCACACCTAATGTTCTAGATCACAATCCCTTTGCTCATTGGAAGCCCCAGCAGAAAGGCACTGAACAAATAAAACTAAATTGAATAGGAAAGACATAAGCTAAAGTTGCTGAATGAATAAATCCTGAAATCCCAACAACTACAGGGACCTTTTTTTTTTTTTAATTTCTTTTGACATAGTACCATTATGTAACTCTGGCTGACCTCACTCTGTAGACCATGTTGGCCTCGATCTCAGAGACACGCCTGCCTCTGCCTCCTCCGTGCTGGGGTTAAACTGCTCTATTGTGCCCAGCGCTAAGCCGTGGCTTTAATCTGTTTCTACCGGCCACATCATATGTTAAATTTTGATGGCAATGATCTGGTTTGGAAATGGCAATGGTCAGTGCTTTTAGTAGGCCGCTATATCGTCCACTTTGAATCTAAAAAAATTGGTTTTTGTACTTGGAGTTTTTCAGACAGGGGTTTGTTACGTAGGCTCAGGCAAACCTGGGTCTCATGACCCTCTTGCCTCCATTTCCTGACTGCTGGGATGATAGTTGTGTATAAACACATGGGCTCTAAAACATGTTTTAAATGGCAGGAGTCGGAGCTATATTATTGGAAGCATAAGTTGCTGGTGGGTGGCTAGTTCTTACAGAATGACGTAAATAAGAAGGCAAGATCAAATCCTTCATTACTTCTCATTATTTAAAAAAAATTTTTTTCTGGGCCAACTCCTCAAAACCAGTAAGAAAGGCCACAATAGCATGCGGCCACACCCAGGCCCTTCATAGTCCCTTGAAAGCTCCCCTTTCAGGCTGCCACCCAGAAAACACTGGGCATTCATCAGGGACTTCACTCTTCTCTCACGGCCTATCCTCCACAGAGCCGTCACACGGACTGTAGAAACCAGAGCCTGCTCTCTACGAAATAAATAAGGAAAAACGTTCAGAGTTCAAAGCAGCTTCTCTACACACACCAGGTAACAACCCAGGCTGCGGCTCAGGGCTCAGCTTGAAAACATTGATGGCAGGCTTCCTAAGAGACACGTAGCTGCATATACGACTCAAGGAAACATTTACAACCCTTTTCAAAGTGTAAAAAATGAGAGATTTGAGATCTGGGGTAACCAACCGGTATCCCCCCAAACCACCTAACCCACGCCCTAGCCACGCATTTAAATCCTCCCTCTGGTGTTAACATTTGTGCATTCAGTCATGGCGAGCAGGCGTGCCAGGGACCGAGCCGGAACAAGGACCATCTTATCTCTATTCTCCCAGGACTTCCAGAAGAAAATGGCATGCCTCTTCTCCAGACCTTGTACTGACCAAATGAGTCAGACGATGGGACAGACCCAGCAATCTGTGAGTGGCTCTTATGTAAACGGAAGCCCAGGGAAGGGGAGGTGTGAGGATCAGAAGGAGTACATTGGCTAGAGCCAGGAGCCCGGGACAAGGAGAATGAGAGCAAGCCTGCGGCCAAGGCAGAAAGTTTGGATATGAAACAACACAGAAATGATGGAGAGGCCACCAAAGGGTCGGAAGCAACGGAGCCCCAAATCAGTTAGAAGCTTTTGAAGACTCAGTTGGCTCTACAGCGTGGAAACACACGCCCATACCAGTGGATCTTTATCTCTAAGAGCGTCCTCAGCATGTAGCAATGACACACTCGATGCCTTGCTATCAAGTCTCTTGAACTGTGTGCTCAGAGATGGCAGACACTCTTATGACTTGTGCTGTTTCCACAACTCAGAATGATGCTGTAGCAGTGAGCGAGTGACTTCACCTCCTAGCATGTCCATGTCAAACGCTCTGCCACAGAGCTAACTTCAGGCAAATCTTGCACGATTATGAAAGAGGACTCATGTCTGCTGGGAGCAGAAATGTACAGAGCTTGCACTTCTGGCTTGCTCACTCAAGAAAGGTGCCGTTATCGTATAGAAACATGGGGTAAGTGAAAATGGGTTAAGTGAATCAACCTTGGAAACTGAGTATGTAGCTCACTTGGCACAGCGTCTACCCAGAATGGGTAGCTAGGTTTGACTCCCAACAGGGCACAGTGACATGGTGATATATGAAATCCCACCACTCGGAAGGTAGACTCACAAGGGTCAAGTTCAAGGCCTTCCTTGGCTACAAAGTGAATTCAAGATCAGCCTTCGATACAAGACACTCTGTCTCATGATCAATCAACCAATGGGACAGGGAAAAGGATAGCATGCTCAAATCAAACAGGCAGGCATGGACTCTAAATAGCTCAGAGATTATTACATTCCATCAGTCGTTAGTGATTAAACAAAACAAAACAGGATCCAATTAAACATACACATTTCTGCTTACAAAACCCACAAAGGGTGGGAAGATGACATTTTAATTAAAATAACACAGATTGAAATTTCTGCTTAACCAGTTTAAAAATATCAAAGTGATTTTTTTTTTAACTCAAAACATCTGTAAGTATGGCAACCTTTTTCTGTATTTTTTTTTTGCCCCAAGCTACTAACTAAATTGTAATAATCCCTGCCATGTGTTCACAATAGGATTGTTCATCTTACCCTATGAATGCTGGTCACCCGGAAACTCTGCGGTTAGGTTTTGATCTCAAGAATCCCTGGAGAGAAATCGTAAGCATGTTGTTATGTTCTATGCGTCCTAGGACTGCACCATCATCCCCCACAAGGTTTTCAAACTCCCAACATACCTAAACATTTTGTGAAAACAGAAAATACAACTTTTAAAAAGCATGAGTCAGAGCACACCCGCCCTCTGACCCCTCAGCTAAAGGCTGGCTGATACTGGGGGCGAGAGTCAAGAACAGTCCCATCACGAAGTAATTCACAAGCTCATTTCCTAACAGAGACGAAAACATTATATCTGAAGCACAAATCCCTGTTATATCTCTGTCTTTTTTTTTTTTCCTGTCTTTTATAAATAAAAAATATCTATGTTTCTTAGGAGGGAAAGCAGGGAAGGAAAAAAGAGTAAGTATTCGAGACAGTTTCCTCCATTGAGTTTTGTTTGGGCAGTGTACAGAGTCCAGTGTAAAAATCCACTGCATCATTTCAAGGTTTCCTTTTGAACCTTGGGGGCTCTTTCATGTTGAAAAGTCTCTGGGTGTTATTTCTGATAAAAGCATTATAAATGTGTTTATTACTAATAATTCTACAAGCATCTGTGAACTAGGCTTGTAAGGTTCCTCTCCTCCTTTCTTCCTTCCCCCTCGGGAATTGAACCTAGAACCTTGTGTGTGCTAAGTAAACACTCTACCACTAAGCTGCATCTTCTTCAGCCTCCTTCACCTGACTCTTGTGTAGAATTCTAAAATGAGAGCATTGGGCTAAAATGAAACAGTATCTTCTGTGTAATGGCAACCAATGCCCCCAAACCTGTATTATACCAATAATCCTTCCTGTAAGCAGACTATCAGCTGATTTCTGAATGAATTAGGAATTACTGAAACCACATTAAAAAACAAAACAAAACAAAATAATAAAAAAAAAAAAAACAAGAAACCTAAAACTTCACTAATTCCACACATAAAAAGAATCTTGCTGTTGCTTTACTTTGCCTGATTTTAAAGTTAGGTTGAACCATGTCAACTAGCAAACCTCATTCCTCATCTCTGTTCACATTCACCAAAACCAGAGATGCAGGCTGTTGAACAGGCGTAGGCCTCAGCGGAAGCTCTCACAGCAACTCCTTGTCATCTCAGGGTGAAGCCATTGCTGCCAACTGAAAGCAGCAGGGCGACGCGGCTCAGTTTCCTTATCCAGGATAAGTGAATCACTCAGACTAATTCTGGAAACTGTACCCGAGTTATCCTCTTTTTTCCTCCTCAGCAGAACACAAAAGTACCGAGCTGGGAGAGTGAGATGTGAAAATCCGAAATGGCGGCGCTGCTTAGAATAGACTAAATCATGCACTTCAGGCAGGATGAAACGGGGACAAAGACTGTCACAGTGATTCTGACAGGCCAGCTGCAGAGACAGGCGGCCGCATCTCTGCTCCCCAGTGCGCTATTGCTAATAGAATAAGTTACCAAACCAGCTCCATCTAGACCTGGCAGAGGCAGTGTATTTGAACTCAGCCCCTGGGCCTGAGTGTGCTGAGAAGTAGCTGAGAATGCTCCCTCTGGCCTTCCCAAAGCCCAGTCCAGAAATTCCTTTTAAGGGTAAGGAAGATAATCCTCATTGTCTAGAGCGACCTGGGATTAAGGGTCAGCTTTCTGACAGAGAAACCACAGGCTGTGACTGCGGAAGGGGAGGAGCCTAGCTGCTCCTGCCCTCGCCCTCCTCTGGCCATCTGGGATGGCAGGCACTCCTGTGCACTCCTGTGGACAACTGCATAGCGCAGCGACACAGTTCTGGGATTTCAATCCAGGCTTTCACGCCGCTTGACTTTGTCTTGTAGTGACAGGTACGAAAGAAAATTGTAAGATCAAAGATGGAGCAAAAAATCAAGAACTTCTCTCTCTTTTGCTGTTGGCCCCAAGGCTGTGACCATGCGAGGCAAGCTCTACTACTGAGGTGCAACACCAGCCCAGAGCTCACAGTCTCCATGGTCTAAAGCCCAATCCTGTAACATCACCCACACCCACTGCGTTCCAGCGACGGCAGGAATCACAGCACCATCCTCTGTCTTGTGCAATCAGGAGGCAGAGGCAGGCGGACCTCTGGCTGAGAGGCCATCCTGGTCTACCTCCTATCACCTCACTCTTGAGGTCTGCTGGCATCCCCTCTGTGGGCTGCACCGAACCCTGCTGCCTAACTTTCTGGCTCTGTCATATCTTCCTGGGACACACAAAAATTTCTCCCACAAGGCTTTATGGTGCATGTCAAGCTAATGCTTCCAGTTCCTTGTGGACTACTGTAATTAAGTCTCTTATTTATCTGGATCCCAGGGATCTATGCCAGAGTATTTTCGATGCCTAGATGAAGGAGCACTGCCAGAGGGAGATATGGAATGCTGCTGTGATTTCCTTCTGGTCAGCTGGGATTCTGAAAACTGGCAAAAGGGGGAGTTCAAAGGGCTTTTTTTCTGCTGAACTGTTCCCATTCGGCTCTTGGCTACTCCGTTTAAAATATTTTGATGGGGCTGGAGAGATGATTCAGTAGTTAAAAGCACCGACTGCTCTTCCAGAGGACCTGGATTCAAGTCCCAGCAACCACATCATGATTTGTCACTATAATTCCAGTTCCAGGGGACCAGATGTCCTCTTGCCCCTGCACACACGTAATTCCCAGACAAACAATCTGGCAAAAATACTCAGACGTATAAAATAATAAAATTTAACTGTGAAGAAATATGGAGAAACAGTCTGACTGAGTGACAAATGTTTAGGCAATGCCGGGTAGCCCTAAGAACAGGTGGAGGGTCACACTTTGTGACTTCATGATGCCAGGATTTCATTACCCAGTTAGGGACCAGAAGTATGGAGACTGCTCGGCTCTCAGAGAGAGCAGAGTTTGGGCACACCTTCAGTGTGTGAGGCAGAGAAAGGACGGGGCGGCCACGACAAGGCCTGGGCATTCTCACCAGCCCACAGTGGGTGCAGTCATCAGAGGCAAAGCCTCACCCTCCAGGAAGCATACTTGCCAAGTTGCCCCTAAACATGACATCTCAGGGGCCCAAATGCAGAACTGCCGTCAAGCTCAGCGTGACTGCTGCATTATGATGACAGCGAGTCATTTTGAATCAGTGCTGGGCCACTGGATAAAGGCCACAGCCTTCCCACGTGACCTTAACATCTGACACACTAGGGTTTCATAATTACTCTTTTGCTTTATTGGCCTTGCGACATGTGGAAGGAAATGCTGGGATGAGACCAGAGTGTACTGTCACCCAAACCAGGATGCTGTCTGTCATGCTAAACTGTGCTCAGCTCCCAGCCTGTCTGCTTCCTTCAAGACCGTACACTCTGGGAGCGCAGGAACCTTTCCTGTCTTCCCAGGGCCTGCACACACTCTTTGTTCATAAACATTGTAATGCCACAAACCTAGGAACGAAGATCAAGCTGACGGTGTCCCGTGTCCTCAGGACACCTTTGGTCTCTTAGAGCAAATTACTTCTGACGTGGTCACTGTGAGGGCGGCTGTGTCTGCTACAGCACACTCTTGAAAGAATGCTAAACAGCAAAGGTCACAAACTGCACTGAGCCTAAGGTTGAGCTTAAAGTGTTGATTCCAGCTCACAAAAGACACTTCAAATGCGCACTACTCCCCAACTTCAGGAATTTGGCAGCCACACCACAGGCCACCGATATTACACTGCTGTTAAACGGCATCACAAATGGCTGGTGACGGGTTCGGCTGCCTCGGCCTTTGAGCTGTTAGAACTGAGAGCTCAGGGTGTAGGGCAAGGCCTAACTACCACAGCCTCAACAACTACCTGCTGTGTGGAAGGAGATGCTGGGAGACGGCAAGGCATGGGTATCCATCTACTGTATTCTCAGTGTGGTTAGGAAAGGCAGAGTTTATTAGTCACTTCTCTGTTCTTGTGATAAAATACCACCGCAGAGGCGACTTGAAAAGGAGGGAGTTTATTTGGGCTTATGGTTCTAGCTGGTATGGTTAGGAGTCCATTGGGGTGGGGAAGGAAGGCAGCAAGTATCAGGCAGGGCAGGAAGTGCACACAGTAAGCAAGCGGGGGAGAGCAAACTCCAAACAGGCAAGGCCTGAGGCTCTCTGAGGCTATCCCGTGACAAACTTTCTCCTAAACTTCCTGGGAGACACTTCTACACAGATTGTGACCTCGCTCTCTGCAAGCTACAGACCTTTTGGAAGGAAACAGGATCTGTTTTACAAATGAGACCCGAGTGGCTCTATCTGGCCCACGGCTCAGCAGTTCATCTAGTAAAACAGACAGGAGGCACTTCCACGTCCTTCCTGCCTGCTTATTAAGTAATTAAGATTGACATGATAGACAGCCAGAGCAAGAAGGCATGCTGCGTATACAACATCACACCAAGGACATCTACCCTCTACTCTGATCAAAGTGAATAACCCACTTTTAACCGGCATTGAAATATATATACATGCTTCGCTTCCAGGTGTATCTGTTTAGATCCAGTTAATGCAGTTAACTTCGTGCCATGCACTTAAGTACGAACTTTCTTTCTGAATGGGTCGATACGGGAGCTCCACATGCCCGTTCCTTCATCTGGGACAGTGAGTAGAAGGGAGGCGGCAGGATGGCCAAGGGCGTGGCTTAACATCCACTTCTACTGGCTGGATCATAAGCTAAGTATCAACTGTTTAATCCACGAGACACTTTATTACAGCACAAAGGACGGCTTTTTACCTAATGGGACTGTCGTAACAGTTAAGTGCGGCAACTGTCACTCAAACGCTTAGCCCACCAACAGGCACAGAGTAACACCCGCTCTTCCCAGCACGCAGGGAGGCAGAGGTACACAGATCTGCATGGCCGTCAGTTCGAGGCCAGCCTGCTCTACAAAGTGAGTCTAGGACAGCCAAGGCTACACAGAGAAAGCCTGTGTAGAAAAAAAACCCGAAACAAAACAACAACAAAACCCATAAATAATCAAATAAAAAAAAGTAACACCCAACATTTTAATTTGTTAACACAATAGTAGTTTTATAACAAACCAGTCTT